GAGCTATCTTTTCCTCATATTTTAAAAGAAGAAGTAGGCTTAACTAGGGGAAAAAATGGAGTTGGAAGTCTCATTTTCTATAATTTAGTCCAAATCCTTTTTCTTTCTGGGGTATATTTACATCTTATTGTTTTGGGAGAATTTTTAGTCAAAGATTTGAGCAGTTCCCTTTCCTTTCAGTATTAGGAGGTACCCCAGGATCACCCTTAGGTTAAAAAGGACTCACAGGCTTAGCATATAGTTGTGCTCATGGCTACAATTTATTATAGTACAAGGATACAAAGCAAAACAAATAAAGAGAAAAGTCTGGAGGAAATCCAGCTCAAGCTTCTAAGAGTCCTCTCCCAGTGGAGTTACAAAGTACCTGCCTAATTCCTCCAGCAGTGAGTTGTAACACATGTGCAAGGCAAATGTTTATTATGGCGGCTCAATAGATACTCAGTACCCCAGATATTTACTGGGTGCTGGTCAGGTAGGCACACTCTGCCTGCCACATACCCAAATTCTGAATTTGCAGAAGAACGTCAGTTGTTCAGCATAAACCACATTGGTCATGCAAACAGTTTAGACCACTCCTATAATTTAAGAAAAATTTTATATCACTGCAGGAACGATTTACCAGCCAAGTTCCAGATGCCAACTCAGGGCCAACCTTGCAAGCAGGACTTTCTATGAATCGGCAGTTTCAGGCCTGCTATATCAACCACTTTCTGTATAGCTGATCTCCTTGGTCAAGGCATTTTATAGCAAAATTGTTATCAGTAGTGTCATGACGCAGTGTGAAACTAACCTGAGTACTGACTTAAAATCCAGAGGTCTTGGATTTAGCCAATTAAAACAAATCCCGTTAGCTGTAAAGGTTAATCTTAGGAAGCCAGGTGTCTTTCTCCTTAAGTTTTTGTGTTAATCTTTTTCTTTTTTAACCTAGCCCGAGGCATCACCTGAAGCACAGCACATCTCTGGCTAATAAATTGAAGCTGACCTGCATGCCTTCTTGGGCGGAGGCAGTCCATGATAGTCCAGATAGGTACCCAGGAAGTACAATCCCGGAGAGCATTCTTAGAAACAAAGAATTCAAGTTCAGTTACCCCAACAAAAACATGCATTTGTCGGGTAGCCCAGGTTAGCAGAGCCCCAGTGTGGCTTCCCACTGCGGGAACTTCGGCCCTCAAGTTCCCTGTCCAGCCTAAATAATTCAGCTAAGTTCTTTGTTTTAGAAGGTCTGTCTGACGGCAGTTTCTTTCTGTCAGCCTGGCTCATAAATGTGGACAATATCTGGAGGTGTTCTTGGAAACTGCAGAAGCTGGGGCCACTCGCTGGTGTCTCATAGTCAGTGCTGTTGGGTGTGATCACAGCCTCAGAAGTCAGTTTGAATTCACAGCATCCTGGAAAGGCAACACTGTTGTTCAGGAGCAGTTCTGAAAAAGAGATCATTAATGCCCTCGTTCTCTTGCATCTCCCTAGGTGTTTTTTGTTTTTTTTTTTTTTTTTTTTTTTTCTTCTTTGCTATTACGCAACAGTGTGATTCATTCAGAAATCATAACATTACATTTTCCCCAGCAATTTTTTATTCTTATCTAGACCTTTTATAAGGAAGGGCAGGAAGGGTTGAGTGTAAGAGGGACAAAAGAATTTACATAGAAAATCACTGTTTCATGAAACAAGCAGAAAAAACACATCATGTTCCAGATGGGCTAGGACAAAATCCTGAGTTTTCAAAATTTTTCAGACTGTGTTTACATTACTCCATCCCTTTTGTCTGATCATTTATTCAGGAAGCAGCCTCGAAAAGATCAATTTCTGTCTAGGAACAGCTGCATTTGGCAATCAAGCTGCCTAACTAAGAAGAGAGGTGAGCAAAGAAGAGTCAGACTATCAATCCATCACTGCAAATTTCAAAATACTCTGGCAACTGAACATAAGTGAATAGCAGTGAGATATCCCCAGAAGGAGTCAAGAGCTCTATTAGGAACGGATGGAGAGGTCCCACTCCCTGTGATGTGCTCTCCCCCAGGAGGGTTCTTGAGATCAATCATTTCTAGTGCAACTAGTTCCGTTTCAAATGGTCCTATCAAAGAGCAAGCCCTTTCCCATAGGCAGTTAACCCAAGTGATCCAGATAGCATCCAGAATGTTTTTATAGTTTATGACTCCCCAGAGGAGTGTTGTAAGCAAACCTGCAGTAGTCCCAGAGGCTGAGTTCTGTTCCCTGAGCCTATGCCTGTCTTCAGAGTGAAACAGTCCCACACAGACAGTATCAAATTTTAGCTTAGCATAAGCTCCAGGCAGTTAGGATCTATGAATTCAGGATTCCAAACCAGGTAGCAACTTTTCTTTAGCAGCAGCAAAGCCGAGAAGATATAGGACCAGACAACTGTTTTCCAAGTCCAAGTGACAAGAAATGGTTTCTAAGCCCTTTTTATATTGTCAGGTTTAGAGTCCAATTGACACACGCCGAAATATGCACATGAAGCTGGAAAATCATTAGCCTCCAACAGTCAGACAGACACCTGATTTTATAAGAAGTTATTAGCAAACTAAAAGCTGCTTTTCAAAACTCAAAAGGCTTTTTTTTTTTCCAGTGGAGATGAACTATCCTTCTATGTTGTCTACCTTTTCCCATAGGTTCCAACAGGCAAAAATTACAGCAAAAATCATCAGTTATGGAGATTTCAGAATTTAAATACTCCGAGTTTACATTGTAATTTATCTACTAGCAACAAAACTCAGGAGGTGCATATTCTCCTAACACTTCTTATGGAGTAGCTTTCCCTAACCGGGGTAATCCCTCAAGCATTTATAAAATTATAAGCATATAATATTTTATATCAGTTTTTCATCATCTATTCAAGTGCAATAGCCAAAAAATAAAAGCCATTTTAAAATTCTCTCTTTTATTTTCGTTGCAGGTTTACTCAAACTCCTAGTAGTAAAGTCCTAAATTCAGCACATATGATTTACATGATAGCTGCTGGGAGATTCCCAGCTGGAGTGCAAGGGACTGCTGTACTAGGTGATGGAGTATTATTTCCTCCGTCCCTGTACTTACTGGTTTATCTAAAACCTTGCTCCAGCTCTTGGAACTGACTTTAACAAAAATATTAAAAGTTTGCATTGCTTTCTCTTCCTTCCTGCTTGGAGGAGAAAGCAATGCAAACTTTTAACATTTTTGGCAAATGTGTTGGCAAAACACATGCAAAATGTGTTTTGGGAATGTTCGGGCACTTTCTCTTCTCAGCTAGAGGAGAGAACAAAACTCAAAGGCACCAGCCAGGCTGCATTTTTTAATCCTTTCATTGTAGCTACCCATGGCTGAAAGCAGCCGGGGAATCTAACAAACCAATTGTCCTGGGGTTGGATCCATCATTTCGAATTCTACAGGTGACTTTTACCTCTCACAACAGACATCATCTCAGCAGCTAATTCACACTACAGACGGCTAGGTAGCGACTGGGCATTGAAGATTCACCATCATGTCTTCTTCATCCTTCCTTTTCCCAAACCCTGCTTTAGCCATATTTCAGTGATTTGGGTTGTTTTAGCAAATCCCACTTCTGCTAGCAGCTGTCATCCCCAGTTTGGAGATTTGCTAGAACTCAGCATATAGTTGTACTCATGGATAAGATTTATTATGTTGAAAGGCTACAAAGTAAAACTGAGAAGGAAAATGGAAAAGGCATATGGGGTGCAGTCTGGAGGAAATTAGGCACACTCTTTCAAAATGTCCTGTTCCAGTGAAGTCCCACAGGATGTGCTTAATTCCTCCAGCAATGAGTTGTCATAACACAGGAAGTCATGGACGTTTGCAAAAAATATAAATGTTATAAGACATGTTAACCTTTGGCCATGTTTCCTTAGTAACATAAAAATTGTGATACCATGCTCTGCAAATATTGGTCACAGTTATCAAGCCTATCTTTTTGCAGCTCAAGGAAGGATTTTCATAAGGCAAATGACCAAGAATTCCTGTTTGAAAATGCAAGACTTCTCCGAGTTCTCTTGGAATACTGGCAGAATAGTGGAAAGAGCCTGGGCTTTGTGTTTCTATTCCCTGCTTCAAACTTGGCTTTGCTGCTTAGTTCTAATTTCACTTTGGCAAGGGGTGATCTATTTGCATCTCAACTCCCTTATCAATAAAATGTCATACAAATCTCCCAGTCGCAGGGTTGTTATAAGAAAATTAGCATATATAAAATATTTGGCTCCATACCTGATGCAAAGTAGGAGTTCCATAATGTAATATTCTCTTTACCTTGGAAAAAATGCCCACTAAAAGGCAGGGACTATAAAGTTCACAGAAACTTTATTTATAAAAGCCCCAACTGGAAATAACCTAAACGACAGCCTAAAATGACCGTCACTTAATAGACTGAATTTTAAAAAAATTTTGGCATGTTGATGCAATGCAATACTACACACAGCATCGACTACTGTTACTGCAAAAACGTGACTCTATCTCACTGACATAATGTTGAATAACACAGGATAATGCATACTGTATAATGCCACTGAAAGTCAGTTCAGAAACAGGCAAATGGATCTATGATGACAGAGATCATTAATGGTAACCTTTTGAAGGGAGTATGGATTGGAAGAGGGATACACGGAGCCAGTTGGGGTGCTGGAAATGGTCTATGTCTTTACCTGCATGGTGCTGGTAACTCAGGGGTTACTACCCTGTGGTACATACGTAAAAATTCATCAAGCTGTGCACTCACGGTTTGTATCTTTTACATGTGCTTGTATATTATTTACATTTGTACATGTATAAGTAATACCTCAATTTAAAAAACGACTCTTTTTGATCCAGGAGCTGGATTTTATTTCAGCATCATTTTATTAGGAGAGTATCTAGGTCTAGATAAGACTTGGCAGCAGCTGGCTACCTTGCAAGCTGTGGTCAGTCTGTTCCTTGTATGTGGCCCCATTTCAGAGCTTGCCTGGAGCTGACAGGCATACTGTGAGGGTCATGCTCCATCATCATTGACAGCTGGAGATGCCATCACATGCCATTGGCAGCAAAGCACAGGGAAAACCAGGCAGTGGACTCTGCTTCCCACCCTTAGGCTGCGAGGCACAAGCCCCAGCAATGGAAGGATTAGAAAGCCTCTCAATTTAAAAAGACAAGGGGGAGGGGAATGTGGGCTGCACAATTTATAAATAGACATTGCCCAAGGCTGCCTGATGATGAAGTGGTTGTTTAGTAAATCTTTCTCCTTTAAGGATGCCAGCATCGGAGACCATTTTAAAATACCAGTTTCATTTTGCCTTTTGGGGGTGATCCTAGGGTTCACTGCCAGCCCTGTTGGGTGATATTTCCTTCTGTCAGATTTAGGAACAGGCCTTCAATATTTGGCATCACCTTTACATGGAGCACAAAGATGATGATGATGATGATGTCTCTTTTGCCAAATGGATGAGCAGCTTCTGGGGCCACAGCTGGAGAGAAGAAGATCAGAGAGGACTCCGGGAACGCCACCGACCGCAAGCCACCAGTCACAGGAAAACCTCCCTGCCCTGCCCAGTGAGTGATTGTCATGGACCAGAGGGGAGAGCTGGAGCAGGGGAGGGGGTTTCTCTTAGATAATTTTTTTTGAGAAATGTGGATATAAAGCTTTCTTTGGTTTAAAACCAGTACTTCCGAATCTTTCTCATACCCACAGAAATCCCTCTTACTATTTCATCTTGTCTTTCAAGGGACCTGATTTTCATCTAATGGGTAATAATTTCTTCATTTTTAGTTATCTAAGATACCTTTAACCACTCTCCAGAGCTCCTGAGAAGCCAGAGATAATCCCATGGAGTGACAGAATTTAAGCCAAAGGAAAGACACTTGATGCTATACTTAGTCTGTGTAGCCTTGTGGCTCAACGTGTGATTTCCATTTGCAATACTGAAAATTGTTCCCCTCTTTGGCAGACCTCTAAGGAACTGGGGATCCCTATAACAAGTCACTACCTTTGATAAATCTGAGATACTTGCTTTCCTCTCAGGGAGCCCATTTGCTTTCCTGATGGGAGAGGGAGCTAAAATTCTCCTGCCCTCAGCACTCTTTTGTGGCTAGGCAGAGCGCCTGAGAGCTGGGGAACAAGATACTAGCAGGCAAGCCCCCAAGAGGGGAATGGTTGGGCTTGACCAGCTGTGGACTCAGTGACAGGTCCAGGCAGCTATTCTCTCTGTTCTACTGTGATGCTGGAAGACTCCACATATGTCCTCTGCTTCACAGTTACACAGCAATAATACAGCTTTTCTTTTTTATAAGTCACATTAAATGCCAGCTACCAGGTGATACTTTCCCAATCCCCTGCTGTTGTCAACCCCAGAACCAAGTAAGTTTTGGGGTAACATTATTTTATTTTTAACTCCGTGCTTCGAAGACACATCATGTCTGTAAGATATATAAAAGCGTGTAAGGCAACCTCTATGACTCCTGGTGATCAGCAAGTTTGAGGAATCAGAATTCTTTGAGACACAAATATGTCAAAATAGATCCCTTGCCAAATGCCTACTCAGGGACAAAGGGCAATCTTCAACACTTCTTTCAGCTTCAGGTTCCTTAAGTGAAAAAGACGGGGGTGTTGGACTGAGTGGTCTCTAAGAACCCTTCTACCTCTAACTTTCCATGCCTGTGATAAATTAAGCACCTGCTTACCGCCTCTCATTTTAATCTATGTTCCACATTGAGTGACATATCCAGGCTGTGTGAACCAGGAGTATGATTAGTTTCCAGTTTCCAGATGTGAGAACAGGGATAAACAAAAACAAACACCGCGATTTACTATTTATTACATTGGCTTCTTAGAGCCACAGGAAATACAAAAACAAAGAAACAAACGCAGTTTACTAGTTCCTTGAATAAACTTTGGCATCTATGTGGCTTTTAAAACAGAGATAGTTACCCTATTTACAGAATTCACTTTTAGTTGCGATGTTGTTTGCCTTAATCTATGATGGAATCACAGCATCTATTGCGTATAACACTTGTAAATTGTGTCCTCCTGTCATCTTTATCTGCTCATCCCTGCTTTAGGCATTTGCCTGAATTAACCTGCTTTCTGTCTCTAAAATGTACTCAAATATTCTGACTTTCAGCCTGGTGCTGAGGTTCACACCTGGAATCCCAGCACTTTGGGGGGGGCCAAGGCCGGAAGATCACTTGAACTAAGGAGTTTGAGACCAGCCTGGGCAACATAGTGAGACTCTATCTCTATAAATAAATACATACATACACACACAAAATAGCAGGGTGTGGTGGTGCTCCCATAGTGCCAGCTACTTGGAAGGCTGAGGTGAGAAGATCGCTTGAGCCCAAGAGGTTAAGGCTGCAGTGAACTGTGATTAAGCCACCGCTCTCCAACCGGGTGACAGAATGAGACCTTGTCTAAAAAAAAAAAATATATATATATATATATATATATTCTTACTTTAAGGAACAATTTGGTTTTCAATTTTGTGTCTGCTTTGAGCTAATGAAAATACCTTAAAAAGAAAAGCTTACTTTTATCCTTACTTTTTTCTTCTCTCCCGACTGCTCTAATCTAAGGCCCTTCCCTCCGTCAACCTTTTAATCATCTATATCCATCAATATGACATTCAGTATTATACATATAGGAAGAGAAGAGCATCCCCCCCTTTGCCTACTTTGAATGTAGTTTCTTTTTTTCCCCACTTCTCCTTGAATGTAGGTTCTAATACATCTTCATCAGTCACACACAATGATTCACACAAAACCTCAGTGCTGGAACAATGAATTTATTTAACGTATTTATTGAACACCTACTGTGAGCCAAGCATTGTCCCAGGCTCACAGGGTGAAGGAAGATGTGTCCAGTCCCCACACCTGTGGAACTGTCAGTCTAGTAGAGAACACGAATTTGGCAGAAAGAACGAGGTATAAGAAAGGGTAAAGCTTAGGTCTTTTTCTAGAGCATGCTTTTTCCCCAGACTCACAAGAACCTGTGATTGCTGAATTAAAGTGAATAAAGAAATCTGACATTATTTTTCTGTTGTCCTTGGTGGAAAAAACGTAATATGAAATCTCTCTTTTAATTGAACTGATTTGCCTTCTCTCGCCAACATCGTATGAATACAAAACTGAAGTAAAACAGTTTCCCTGTCATTTATTTATTCTGTGGAAGTGCCTGTTTTGTTTTCTAGTCATCATCTCCTTCAGCTTAACATGGTTCTCTTAACATTGTTCTATGTCATCTGGGCCTCGTGGAGGGAAAGATTGCACTAAATGAAAGATCTTTTGGAGGAGAAACTGAGTTTATTGGCCAAGGGCTTTTATAACTTCAGATGGACTCACAGGGTTTCTTCTACACTCCAGGGCAGACACCATATATACTGCCTACATGATATAATTTGAGGGATATAGAATAAGTCTCTACCAGTGTACACCAATATTTTTTCTTTCTTTTTTTTTTTTTAAAGTTCTGGGATACATGTGTAGAATGTGCCGGTTCATTACATAGGTATACGTGTACCACTGTGATTTGCTGCAGCCATCAACCTGTCATTTAGGTTTTAAGCCTTTCATGCATTAGGCATTTGTCCTAATGCTGTCCCTCCCCTTGTCCCCCATCCTCCAATAGGCCCCAGTGTGTGATGTTCCCCTCCCTGTGTCTATGTGTTATCAATGTTCAACTCCCACTTGTGAGTGAGAACATGTGGTGTTTGGTTTGCTATTCTTGTGTTAGTTTGCTGAGAATGATGGCTTCCAGCTTCATCCATGTCCCGCAAAGGACATGATCTCATTCTTTTTTATGGCTGCATAGTATTCCATGGTGTATATGTGCCACATTTTCTTTATCCAGTCTATCACTGATGGGCATTTGGGTTGGTCCCATTTCTTTGCCATTGTAAATAGTGCTGCAATAAACATACGTGTGCATGCGTCTTTATAGTGGAATGATTTATATTTTGGGGGGTATATACCTGCTCATGGGATTGTTTGGTCAAATGGTATTTCTGGTTCTAAATCCTTGAGGAATTGCCAGACTGTCTTCCACAATGGCTGAACATTTAATTTACATTCCCACCAACAGTGTAAAAGAGTTCCTATTTCTCCACATCCTCTCCAGCATCTGTTGTTTCCTGACTTTTTTTTTTTTTTGAGACGGAGTTTCACTCTTGTTACCCAGGCTGGAGTGCAATGGCGTAATCTCAGCTCACCGCAGCCTCCACGTCCTGGGTTCAGGCAATTCTCCTGCCTCAGCCTCCTGAGTAGCTGGGATTACAGGCATGCGCCACCATGCCCAGCTGATTTTTTGTATTTTTAGTAGAGACGGGGTTTCACCATGTTGACCAGGATGGTCTCGATCTCTTGACCTCGTGATCCACCCGCCTCGGCCTCCCAAAGTGCTGGGATTACAGGCGTGAGCCACCGTGCCTGGCCTGTTTCCTGACTTTTTAATGATCATCATTCTAACTGGCGTGAGATGGTATCTCATTGTGGTTTGATTTGCATTTCTCTAATCAGCAATGTTGAGCTTTTTTCCGTATGTTTGTTTGGCAGCATAAACGTCTTTTGAGAGGTGTCTGTTCATATCATTTGCCCACTTTTTGATGGCGTTGTTTTGTTTTTTTCTTGTAAATTTGTTTAAGTTCATTGCAGATTCTAGATATTAGACTTTTGTCAGATGGGTAGATTGCAAACATTTCCTCCCATTCTATATGTTGCCTGTTCACTCTGATGCTAGTTTCTTTTGCTGTGCAGAAGCTCTTTAGTTTAATTAGATTCAATTTGTCAATTTTGGCTTTTGTTGTAATTGCTTTTTGTGTTTTCATCATGAAGTCTTTGCCCTTACCTATGTCCTTAATGGTACTGCCTAGGTTTTCTTCTAGGGTTGTTATGGTTTTGGGTTTTACATTTAAGTCCTTAGTCCACCATGAGTTAATTTTTGTCTAAGGTGTAAGGAAGGGGTCCAGTTTCAGTTTTCTGCATATGGCTCTCCAGTTTTCCCAGAACCATTTATTACGTAGGGAATCCATTTCCGTTGCTTGTTTCTGTGGGACTTGCCAAAGATCGGATGGTTGTAGATGTGTGGTCTTATTGCTGAGGTCTCTATTCTATTAGTCTATATGTCTGTTTTGGTACCTGTACCATGTTGTTTTGGTTACTCTAGCTTTGTAGTATAGTTTGAAGTCAGGTAAGATGATGCCTTTTTTTTTTTTTTTTCTTTCATTCTCTTTTTCTCTTCCTTTCTTTTGATGCCTCCTTTTTTTCTTTCTTTCTCTCTCTCTCTTTCTTTCTTCTCATTCTATTGCCCAGGCTGGAGTGTGATGATGAGATCTCAGCTCACTGCAACCTTCCCCTCCTAGATTCAAGTGACTCTCCTGCCTCAGCCTCCTGAGTAGTCAAAATTTCAGGCACGCACCACCGCACCTGGCTGATTTTTGTATTTTTAGTAGAGACAGGGTTTCACCATGTTGACCAGGCTGGTCTCAAACTCCTGACCTCAGGAGATCTGCCTGCCTTGGCCTCCCAAAGTGCTGTGATTATGACGTGGGCCACTGCGCCTG